TCATGTAAGCACTTTCTGGATTTGCTACAAGGGACATTATTGCAATGGCACGTGGGAGGAGCCCTCGCAAACGGGAAGGGAGATGTCTTATGAACCTTCACAGTATTTAAATATGGTTCATGCTATGAAAGTGCTTGAGAACCCCTATTCCATTGCTTTAAATCAATGGGTATTTAAAATATTATTTAAAAAAACCAACCCTGCTAGCATCATCTCTTGAAGGCAAGGATGGGGGTTAAAAACTGCAAATAATTCCTGTTAAAGCAAAGGTAGATTGCTTTTACCAGGAACAGGACTGCAAAGGACTTAGTAATGCAAAATCAGGGTGTGATGAAAATAGTAAAGCGATTGTTTTAATTATTTCCATTTAAATATATTTACAGACATGCATTACATAAAAGGCGAAACATGAAGGTGTGGTATAAAGATTCTGGTGGCATGGCTGAATGACTCATACCTACCTCACATTCAGTGAGGATGAGGGAAGATGAATGAGGTCTATGGTCTCCTCATACTGCAAGGTTGTGACTCTGGTCTAGGCTTTTCCATTCTTCCTGCACAAACTGCGCACCTTCTAACTCACTGGGCGACAGAGTGAACACGAAACAACTGCTCCACAGGAACTGGACTCACCCAAAACTAGCATTCCCAGAGTCCCAAGCAGGAAGAAGCTTGTTCACAGTAAAACAACCTGTTGAGAAATACTCAAGAGGCAAGAGAGAATAAGAATGTCATATTTAGGGCCCTAAAAACGCATCACGGACCGTGAAATCTAGTCTTTTGTGTACTTTTACCCTATCCTCTACAGATTTCACCAGCATTTCTCAAACTAGGGGTCCTGACCCAAAAGGGGGGTTGCAGGGTTATTGTAGGGGGGTTGCTTTATTGCTACCCTTCTGCACTGCCTTCAGAGCTGGGTGGCTGGAGAGTGGCAGTTGCTGGCCAGGCACCCAGCTCTGAAGACAGCGCCCAGCTAGTAGCAGCACAGACGTAAGGATACCAATACCATGCCATCCTTACTTCTGCGCTGCTGCCAGCAGCAGAGTAGAATTAAGGGTGGCAATACTGTGACCCCCATACAATAGCCTTGCAACTCCCCCGCAGCTCCCTTTTGGGTCAGGACCCTACACCTGTTACAACACTGTGAAATTTCAGCTTTAAATATCTGAAATCATGAAATTTATGATTTTTAAAATCCTATGACCATGAAATTGAACAAAAGGGACCGTGAATTTGGTAGGGCCCTAGTCATACTGGGTCTGACCAATGGCCCATTTAGCCCAGGATCCTGTCTTGCAACAGTGGCCAGTGCCAGAAGGGATTCAGAGGGAATTAATAGAACAGGGCAATTATCAAGTGATCCATCCTGTTGTCCAGTCCCAGAGGTTTGGGGACACCCAGAGCATGGGGTTGCATCCCTGACCATCCCTAACAGCCATTCATGGATCTATCCTTCATGAATTTATCTAATACTTTTTTTAACCCAATTATACTTTTAGCCTTCACAACATCCCCTCGCAACAAATTCCACAGGTTGACTGCATTGTGTGAAGTGCTTCCTTATGTTAGTTTTAAACTTCCCGCCTATTAATTTAATTGGGTGACACCTGATTCTTGTGAAAGGTAAATAACACCTCCCTATTCACTTCCTCCACATCAGTCATGATTTTATAGACCTCCATCATATCCCCCCCTCAGTCATCTCTTTTCTTAGATGAACTGTTCCAGTCTTTTTAATCTCTCCTCATATGGAAGCTGTTCCATCCCCCTAATCATTTTTGTTGCTCTTCTCTGCACCTTTTACAGTTCTAATATATCTTTTGTAAGATGGGGTGACCAGAACTGCATGCAGTATTCAAGGAGAGGGTGTACCATGGATTTATATAGTGGCATGTTGATATTTTCTGTCTCATTATCTATTCCTTTCCCAATGGTTCTTAATATTGGCACTTTTTTGCCTGCTGCTGCACATTGAGCAGATATTTTCAGAGAACTAGCCATGACGATGCCATGATCTTTTCTTGAGTGGTAACAGCTAATTTAGACCCCATCATTTTGTATGGAGAGTTGGGATTATGTTTTCCAACGTGCATTACTTTGCACTTAGAAGAGCCCAAATGCCCTGACAGGGAACAGCTCCACTCAGGCACTATCAACGTTATCAGACTCCAGCTGGGAGACCCTAATCAACGCACTGATATGGGAAAGCATCACTTACTGCATCGAAGCAAGCTAAAGACCCCATGCATGTAGCCAGAAAGGGGACATTGTGGTTGGTGATCTCACTGCATTCAACGTCATAAAACACATGCAGCGTGGGGACAGCAGCAGGCGGAGCTCAAAGCTAGTCCAACATTGAAGAACACACATGGGTTCCATATATGGGGAAAGCAGCAGGCAGAGCACGAACCAGGCCCCGGTGCTTGGTCCTGCGCCACTCAGGCAATGCAAAGGAAATGGAAATGGCCCACAAGGTCCCAGCTGGGGAGATGCTGGAGGAAGGGCCAGGGGGCCTAGAGGCAGCATAGCTAGCTCCTGCATTGCCAACAGCAACAGTACAGGAGGCAGAGCCAGCATGCATTACACTCCAGCTCTTCTCAGGTGGTAGACAGTCTTTTTAGGGACTATCAGCTGCCACGGGTTAGAACAAGGGATGGCAACCTTTCAGAAGTGGTGTGCCGAGTCTTCATTTATTCACTCGGATTTAAGATTTCGCGTGCCAGTAATACATTTTAACATTTTTAGAAGGTCTCTTTCTATAGGTCTATAATATACAGTCAAACCCCGCAATAAGGCGCCCCGCCATAACGCAAAATCGCATATAACGCGATCACAATTTGGCCCCCCCTTTAAGACACACAGTAATACAGTACTGTATGTACTGTACCAGTGGTCCCCAACGCCATGATGGCTGCCGGGACATTGATGTGCCCCTGCCTAGTGCCAGGCAGCGGAGAGAAGCTGTGGCCCCGCGCCTGCCCGGGACAGAGAGCACCGGCACCCACAGCCCTGTTGTTCTCTGTCCCCGGCAGGCGCGGGGCCGCGGCTCCTCTCCGGCTTCAAGAGGTGCCACGGCCCCGCACCTGCCGGGGACAGAGAGCTCCAGGGCTGCGGGCACCGGTGCTCTCTGTCCCCGGCAGGCACAGGGACGCAGCTTCTCTCCCCTGCTGGGCACTAGGCGGCGCACATCAATGCACCGCCTTGGGGACCACTGACGGGCTTGAAACCCCGCTATACCGTGACCCCGCATTTAGCGCGATGTAATTTTTTGGACCCCAAACGTCGCGGTATAGCGGGGTTTCACTGTATAACTAAACTATTGTTGTATGTAAAGTAAATAAGGTTTTTAAAATGCTTAAGAAGCTTCATTTAAAATTAAATTAAAATGCAGAGCCCGCCGGACCGGTGGCCAGGACCCGGGCAGTAGGAGTGCCACTGAAAATCAGCTCGAGTGCCGCCTTTGGCATGCGTGCCAGAGGTTGCCTACCCCTGGGTTAGAAGCTGGTCCTTGCAGGCCAGGATGGAGCCAGATGGAGAATTAGAGAACAAAAACCAGTTCCCTGGTAATCCCTATCTCTGTCCCCAGGCCTGAGCATATTTTGATTACACAGGAGAATCTGGGACAAAGTTTCTACCTACTTAATACAAATGGCACCATTTGTATGTTATGAACAATTCTCTGTTCAGGACACCACAGAAATTAGCTTTTGTTTATGGTGATCCCACTGCACCAGCATTAGAGATAGCACTATATGTTACAAAGTGGAAAGATACAATAACATTTTTTAAAATTACATTTACATCATTTTTCTTTACAATACACATGCTATTTTGCTGAAATGCCAAATAAAGCAATTCCACTCAAGATAAAGGTTAAAAGTAACGTCACCGAGACTAAAAATCTACATTAAAAATAATATCCTCACCCGTTTATTGTTGATTTCACCACTTAGCCTCGTTTTTTTAACTCAGTATGAATACAATTTAATGGCAGAAAAAGTCACACACACAGCTCTATTTTTTCCACACCCATACTGAACACATATTCAAAGTTTAATGTGGCTTGGTTTGCTCCTCTTGTCTCACTCAGTGTCTCCATTGCCACTGAGCCCAAGTCCATCTCTTAAATCAGACGAAACAGGGATGCAAAAATGTAGATTTCTCAGTGATGTTCTTCTCTGTCGTGCATTGTACTAGTGCATTCAAACAGCGTGTCAGAATTCAATCAGCTAAGCTGGGGGGGGATTATTACACAATACAGAAATATATTTTTACGTGTATCTTAACATGCCATATGGCTGCTTGCCCTACTATAGTACAGTGCAATAAATACAAATATATTCACACTAGAAAAGGTTTAACTGCCAAGATCTACATCTGGTTTATGAGTACAAATTCACCTAGTCAACAATATAACAAACTGAGCAGGAAAAAGTGGCATTGGCATTGTCTAGTACGAAACGCAAGGCTAGAAGCAAAGTGTTTTCAAGCTACAGAAAATTTGCTAGCTTCTAATATGAGGATGTAGGGCCCAATCCTGCAAGGTGCAGATTTGTGATCAGTAGATTGCATCAGAACATGGGTTGTTTTTTCCCCCCAATTTAACAATGAATACTCTGACCGTTTATTTGGCTTTGCTAACCGTTTATAAATAACACACTATGTCTATTAAACTATACAGCAACATGACATTTATAGCCTAATCCTGAATACAAAGTTCAAAGAACATGACTACAAAGGCCAAAGAGCAAGTGTCATTGACTAAAAGCATTTCCACTTAGAACTCCATTTTATTGAATATTCTGTTACACAAACATTTCTTGATCACGAAAGCAAAAGGAACAGGATTCCCTATTCCACTCCATTCCAGTAGTAATTTATCCATACACCACTTTTATAAATTAGTGATGGAATTTAACAGTTAGCCCCTCGGGGCTATATATTTATATATTTTATATATATATATATATATGCACATTTACTTTGAGTTCTATGTAAAAATTGAAAAAATGTTTGAAAGAAAACTCAGAATATATCACAGCTTTTTTTTTTCCCAGGAAAAAAAATTAGTTTTATAACACTAGTCAATTTATCAAACTTTTTCGGAAGTATTTACTTTGAATTATGTACACATTACTGGAAATAAAACTTTTTCCACAAACATTCCCTAGGGTGACAGTTATCAACAGGATGACAGAAGAATAGCAGGATGAATATTAAACATATTGAGGGGAGAAGAGGGAGGAGGTGATCCGTTTATGCTTTAAAAAGTCACCATATAATTAAGTACAAAAACCTGCATTGAATGACAACTGCTGGTGTAGTAACTTGATCAGATATGGAGACCAAGAGTATAGTAAAGCTCTATGGTAATATTATTTCTGTAGCATTTCCACTCTGTATGTATATACTAAATGTTGGCAAAGTTTCTGTAGCATTAGCTTATACAAACACAGGAGTCCTCAGTCTGCTGCGTAAAATGGAACAAGTGTTTTTAATTCTTCTGAAATGCACCCGTAATTCAGAGTGTCACTTACAAACTGCATATTGAATCATTTCTTCAGAAAAATATCTGTTTGGCATCTCCGGGGCTCTGTTCCATTGGACAATAGGGGCATTTTAATCTAGAGACAAAGACAATGCGTTAGGATTGTTCTAATAAGACAGCCTGCAGTGGAGCAGCAACTGCAATTTCTGGACATCTCAATTGTTTTGACATGTTGAACTAACAGAGCGCTAGGCATTTACATTCATCATTATTTATATTATAATAGCACCTAGTTCTCAATTAAATTTGATAGGGTAGGCAGGAAAAGGAGACTAGATAGCCCTTTCTGCATAATGCTTTCCTCAGCTCCACTGAACAGATCCCCTACCTATAAAGGGACCCTAGCCAGAGTTAGAATAATTTTTTTAAAGATGTAGTTGCTACTTACCTTATTAGTCACACCTAGATTATTAAAAATGAAGAAGTTACATTTTAAAATTCATTCTTTATCCTGTGTGGTTGCTTGCTGCATTTTGCTCAGTTTGGACTATGAAATTAGACCGGTCACTTACAGTTAACGTCTAGACAGTTTCACGGACTGCCTCTCAGGCACTAACACAATGCAATTCTGATGGGGTTTCTAACCCAGCAGTGAATATGAAAAACAGAAGACATCCAAAATTTTCATTTGGAAAAACCCAGCAACATTTTCTGTTTGGTTTCACAAAACCCTTGTATTACAAAATCTAAGTTTGGGCCAAAATTAAGTTTACAGTGTATTTATATTATGCAGCTCTCTTATGCTTTATCGATGCGGTGTGTCCTAAAGTGGAATTACCAATAATTGTACATGTTCCCTTCCTAAAAAGTACTTTACTTATTTCCCACATTCCTTCCTGCCCCCTCCACATCTAAGTAGCTAATGAATAACATGAAATCACCATTGTAGAAATATTCATCTGCTCTAAGTTATTTGATGACCCTAGATTCCTCCAAGGATCTCCCACACCCCCACCCGACCCCCTTTCCTTTTTTTTTTTCTTTTTTTTTTAATTTGTTTAGTGTGTGATTAACCTTGCTCTCAACAGAAAAAACAACGTATAGAAAACCTGAGCTTTCATGCAGCAATAATTAATTGGTACTTATAGTTTCTGTAAAATGGAAGGCTAATTTTTCAAAGTGATGTAATCCTATCTATTGAGATTCTTATATCAGGTCCTTCAGTGTCATATAAGAGTATAATATACAGCCAACTCACATTGTTATTGTTCTAGTGCACCAACAACGCTATCCTGCTTTGAAGTCAGCCATCAGAATTTCAACTAGCTTTCACCCATTCTGCGTTTATGGAGTCTTCTCCCTCCCCAAACTCACTATTTTAACCTTAAAATTGGTCACAGCCCACACTTTGCTAAGAGGGAAAGAATGAGACTTACTTGCTGCCATTAAACATTTTATTCAGAGCGTCTCTTGATATAATATGACCACAGACCAGTTTCATAGGTGGATTATTATCTGTTGTTTGCTGACGAAGAATGGGACAGGCAAATATTGAGTGATACCAGCACTTTTTACCAAGGTCCACTTCAATCTGTATAAAAGAATACATTAATTAAAATCGCCATGTATCTTGCGTAACTGCATTTCCAGCAGACAGTCATCACTACTCTATACAGGACCATTAAACACATTTCAATACAACTTTAAGTACACCAGAATCACTTGTGCTGATGAGTGGGAAGCCTTCAGCCAGAAATATCTCAGAGTGATCTTAAATTAAACTGTTTTAGGTTTTTTCAAAGCAGAGCGTAATGCTGGCACACCACTTGCAGGTACGCATTGTAGAACAAACCAGCACTGGCAGGGAAATGGACCTGGAAATGGATGATCCCACAGGACTTATCTGTTCTAGGCAGAGATTTCCAAAGCTGGCTAAGGGATTTGATGACTAATTTCCATTAGAAATTAACTAGAACTGATTATCCACATTCCTAAAGTGCTTTTAAAACTCCCAACACTAACACGTATATGATTCACATCAAAAGTCATGTAACGTCTTGGGATCACTCGAGTCAGAAGCCAATGCAGAAGATACAAGTCCAGGCAAAAATTCCTTCACCACTCCTCAGGCAGGAGGGTTGTATGATTTCAGGAAGAGATGAACGCAAAGAGAGAGAGAAAAATGGGGCTCAGTAGTTTAGACAAAGGACTGGGGACTAGGAACTCCCAATTTCTAACACTGGTGGTTCTGATTGAGTCATTTAACCTTGATATTACTTAACCTCTCAGGATTCTTGTACGTAAAATAACAACAACGCTTTCCATACCTTCAGCGCCTCACAGGGGCGTGGTGAAGATTGATTAGGCAGTGTTTGTGAAGTGCTTAGAATATGCAAGAAGCTATATAAGTACTATTAACTAATCCACATCTGCTGGATGATCCTTTGCTAAACCACTTTCTTTCCAGTGATTCTTTCGGGACTGGTCACCCACCTCAGACCAGATTCAACAGTCACACTTATAAAAAGCAATATCAGACTGGTCCCAACAGACACATTGGTACTATACATGGATCCTCATCACAACTACAGTCAGGAATGCCACGTCTGCTGCTGCCCAGCTCAATGCCTGAAAAGTTTTCTCCTTCTCAAAGCAGGAGCAGAGAGCCTTGAACAGTTTCATGGACATGGTCACACGGATTTTGCTATGAACAAGCTCCTCCAGAAGTGTGTCTGTGGGTCTCAATTCAGTCCACCAATCATGCAACGATGCCATTCCTGGTCATTTCAAGCCCACCTAGTGTTGTGGCAATACTCCAGCAAGCTGTGGATGGAGCTCAGGCCTGGCTGAACAATGGTAATATAACAATCTGATTTTTTTCCTCCCCATTTTTATGGCAGCATACACTCCTGGCTGTTTTAGCAGTTATACAGTTCACATTGACTTTTGGGGTGACGGAAAATCCATACACACTTTCAGTATAAGAGAAACTCAAAGGGCTTGCTCATTGTCCAAATCCTGGTCTGTCTGAAAGTACGGAACATACTCACCGGCAATTCATCTTTCTGGTTCCAAACTCCAGTGCACTGTCTTTGTTCGATCACAGCTTTGATATTAATTAAAGCTGGCAATGCTACACAACCTGCTGAAAAACTGCAGAATGCACAGAAATATTAGCACAGGATGCTGTTTTGAAATGAATATTTCTCATAGCTCTACTTCAGTAGTAAGTTACTGGGGACAAAAGACTGTCATATTTCCTCAGTCCGTTCTTGCCTTCTGTATTACTACCCAACCAGTAAGACGGCAGGTTGCTGGGATTCTGGGTTCTGTTATGTACAACAAGCTGAAGGGTAACCATTTGAGCGGAGCACATCAATAATCTAATTTACTGTACCATTTGTTCTGGCCAAAATGTGATCTGAATGCAGCCTAAGGAGTTGTACATACATGGACCACAATCAGACCTTTAATAGTGTGTTAGTGTAACTTCAAGAGACCACAGATCTCACTACCCATGGTCCCTGGGATTAAGATGGAGAAGGAGTCTCCACAGAATGGAGCTGAGGAAGGTAATGCAACCTGCTCTCTTTATGTTGCAAATGTGGTCTTCAGCTGGGCTAGGATTGGGTGCTACACAGAGTCTGTTCCAGGAGCTTCCTGTTACCCAAGTATATTCTATTCCTTTGCAGTACTCCACAAGGTTGCCACAATAAGTGTGGAAATGATTTTCAGCAAATTAACAGGAAAGTCTGAATATTTTGCACTGAGTACGTTTACCCCCTGCAACAAATTAACGGAGGACAGGAAGGGGAGGCCAAGAGTTCTAATCCCAGCTCTGCTACTGACGTGCTATGTTGCCTTGGCAAAGTCACGTCACTATTTGTGCCAGTTTTATCATCTGTGAAAATAATACTTGCTCCTTCACAGTAGCTTTGAGAGGTTTAGTTAATAAAATGCTTTTAGAACATTGCCTCTGGCAGGGTCGTCTGTGGGGACTACACCTGGAACCTCTGGATCTAAAAGCATGAGCCTGTAGCATCTGAGCTAAAGAATCAGATCCACTACCTCAGACACAGTAGCCAGTTCAAACCATTATCTGTGCTCTAGCCTGTAGGGGGAGACAAAAAGCTACAGCATTAGCCTACATTACACTTGGAAGATTTATATTCTGCACAAACAAAGGCACCACCTCACTTCGTAGTCCTAAAAGAAAACAGCTGTGAGGGATGTCAGAGAGCCTTTTGAAGACTAACAGTAGCTAAAAGAAATTGATTTAATACATGACAATTTATTTGGATTGCAGTAGTACTTAAAGGGCCCGATTCAAAGCCCACTGAAGCCAATGGGAGTCTTTCCGCTGACTTCAACGGGTTTGGATCAGGCCCCGAGGGCCCCAATAAGATTGGATCCTCATTGTTGTAAGCCACTGAACAGCCATAAAAAGAGAAATGGCCCTGCACCAAAATATTAGAAAATGAAATTTTGTAGGCAGGCTTTTATTTCAAACTGGTTTAATTTTTAAAGTATTTGCTACGTACGTGCAATAGCTACATTTTAGAGCAGTCTTGTTTATACCCTGAATGTCAATAACACATGCACAATAAAACATCACAGTTCAAATGATTTCACTTTGGGCCCAAAACGGCTGTCTAATCAACACAAGTATCAATAAAAGGGAAGGGATTTTTCCACCTCAGTGGTAGCAACTCCTATACTTGTACTGCTAATGAACTGTGCACATTACTCAGTCAATGCATGGGCCATTAAAATGTCAGTGCGTGACTATTAATTCGCTGGGTATTGTTCTGGGAGGAAAAAAGATGGACTAAAAAATTCCTTAGTGCTCATTTTTACATCCACAAACTAAAATTAATCAATAAACGCTGCTACAGAAGGATGTAGATTCAGGCATACTTTTCCTTTCCATTCCGCTGCTCCTTTCCAATGCATGAGCCTGGCTCCAAAAGAAATGGGTCCACCGAAAATCATTTAATACTATTACTTGGAAGATATTAATGAAAGGTCGGTGAAATGTTGCTGTAATGAGTTTGTACCTCTTTAAAAGTGGTCAACTAAGCAGGAACGTAACTAACAGTCACAAGCAAGCAGATAACCACGAAAAAAATAGTGGCACTTCCATAAGATTGAGTCCACTGAAAGACAAAACCCATCTCTCTTTTCTCATCTAACCTCTAAAAGGAAAGTCAGGTACAGTGCACTTGGGGGATGTGCAGCTCAAAGTCCGAGTGGTGGTTAATTCTTCACTATCTGGGTAAAGGGTGGTTTACGATTTGACTGCTGTAGGCCACTATACTTGTAAAGAAAAATTAGATTTCTGTATTTTCAGTTAAACACAACGTTAATATTCACCACAGAGCTGGGAAACACCAGTTCCCATGAAAGTGCAAGATTTCATCTTTGCAAATCTTGAATTCCCGTGAGTGGGTTGTAAATTTTACCAGCTGAAATCACATTCTAGCATATTTAGAAACAGAACCTCAACACAGAACCAATGCAAAGTGAGAAAACTGAATTAAAGATAACAAAATTGACTAAAAGTGTTAGCAAGTAGATAATTGGTTCAGGCTTTTTCATTTTTAAGTGTCAAGTTGTGGTACCAATTTTCACACACTTGTCCTAAGCTCAAGGGGGCTGGTTGCCGCCTCATCTTTAATATGGGTGTGTAACCTACAGCATCTTAAGAATCCCAGCATACAATGTTCCACTTTGAGCTGAATAGAAGGCCATTTGGCCACACTGCATGCTGGAATCTGTAGGTTTACAACTGGCTCTATTTAATGCACATTAGGCACGTCTCTTGCCTTCCTGTCAAGTTAGCACTGCAGCCGGGAATAGGTTAGGCACCCTGGCCTTCAAAACCTTTCAGTGGGAGATAGCATACCTAACACTCAGAGGTGATTCAACTGAGAGACCCAGGAGAGCACAGGCGTCCCTTGTAAAGATGTCACAGATGTCTGCCCACTGGTTTGCATCTAGTAGATGAACATATGGAGAGTTCTCTATACCCTGTCTCAAGTACACCAGGCTGCCCATCAAAACCTGAATATCTGTGAAGGACAAAAAAGCAAATCTTTAGCTATTACATTTTACACTGCTTTATGTTATAATGGGAAGATTAGTCTGAGCTTTTCCCCTTTACACAGGAAAAAAAACGTAATTTTAATGTATACCGAGTCAACGATTATCAGTTGTGTTACAAGAGATTCAGAAATATACACACACTTCAATACAAAATATGGGTATGACCAGCATGGAATAGATATCTTTCTGTAACCAGAACAGACCGCAGTGCTATGGAATAGACTGCATTATTTTTGCACTTCTGCTATCACCTGCACTTTGCCCCCACCAACCTGCTTCTACCAGGTCTGCTTACAATGTGCCAAATGTCTAAGCAGCTTTCAGATGTCAGGCTCTGATTATTTAGAAAGGCTATTACTAAAAATGTTACTTCTCCCCTACCAACAGGGTGGTCGGATCCTGGATGAGGTTGGAACACAGATTATTAGTCCAATGTCCAGGACTACAGACAGTTTTAAGATCAGATGCCTCACAAACTACTCAGACAAATGATGCCGGAGCTGGAATTCCACTCTTCAACAGGATACGAATCTGTCTCTGACTCTGGCCCAGCAGAAACACTAGGGTCATGACACCTGGATTTATAGAAATATACTCTTCTTTTTTTAAGATCATTCGTTGAGATTTTTACATCTTCATACTAATTTCTCTCCCTGCCCATACAGCTGCACTCATGTTAATAGGGCAATCTCTCTATACAGGCAGTGGGATATGAAAAACGAGTACTGATGAAGTTTTCAAAGCTCCCTAACACTTTTCTAAAGAAGTTCTTCTGTAAGCTTTGTGAAGAGAGTATGTAGGAGAGAGAGAGAGAGAGCCTGAGGTGTGGGCCTGGGGCAAGATCTGAGGCCTAAACCAGAGGCTGTGAACCGAAGTCTGGCCATGCATTAAAGCAGATGCTTACAAGTTCACTTTCCAGCCCATGAACTTGGCAAAGTTGTTGCTAGTGTAATAGGCACTAGATATTTACATACATATATTCTAACTAGTACAGATACATCCCAATCTAGTACAAGATAAGATGGTTTGACAAAACAATGGATAGGGATGTTTTGTCCAAGATATCAGGAACAAGGGGAGATAACAAACGGACGTCATGAAATGTGTAAGGTGGTTTTAACTGTGTGTTCCAGTTGTTTGTTTCAGCCTAGAAATGTCAGGGTACTTTGCCGTACTCCTTTGTCCAGCCTAGGGGGCAGCAGAAAGTCCCGCAGCTGACTGAGCTGAGTCCATTGTAACGAGCATACCTGTGTTAGTGTAACTGTAGACATTGATCCAGGGAGCTAATACCGTGCTTTGTGGACAATAAACCTGGCCGAGCGCCTTCACCCCCGAACCGTGCCTGTGGTCTTCCTTTATGAGTCTGCTGAACTATCTACTAATAACATTGAAGCTACAAGGACAGAAGCACTGAGCAGCCTAAACAGCGCTACTGAGGCAACGACATTCCAGCCTCCCGCACTTAACCACACTGGCTAATACTACTGAGGTCTGTTGAACCAGCTATCTGTGCAGAACTGGACAGCACGCTGAAAGAACACACATACCCAAGCCACTGCCAACAACATAAACAGAGTATACAATGGTATGGAATTAAGCTTTTATTGGCTCTCATTTGGGATGGCATGTTTAACTCACTCATGGCTTCCCAGCTTGTCGAGATATCAAGTCACCTGAATCTTGCGACAAAAAAACCCTTTATATTGTCACATACAGCTGGAATACCAGCTGTCTGCCCAAACAGTATGTGTGTGTGTTTTTGTATACTTTACCCTGGCAATGTATCTATATTAGAGGAGACCTAAATAAAAAGCCCAACGACATTATAACCATCGTTTGAATATATTTGATTGTCACCTTTAAAAGATAAAAATAATTCAAGCTACCAGGATGCCGGGATAGTATTCCTGAACAAAGATTTCAAGATGTGGTTTCAAAAGCATTAAGAGGATGGGCAAATAAAAGGTTCTGTGTTAGCTTGTTGGAAAAAGCTAGCTACTTGTGAGAGATGCTGCAAAGCAAGGAGGAATCAGAGGAGTGGGAATGCAAGTGGGTGGGAGAGACGAGAGGGATAAAGAAGAGTGGAAGAGAGAAAAGCAAAATATCAGGTGAGTGACTTTAAAAAAGTCAATTGAATAATATATTTAGGTTGTCTCTCCTCCCAATCCTTCCCCAGCAGTGGATAGACTGTCAGTGTCAAGCCTGATCAATATCGCATTCTACTAGTTGTAGTCTATAAAGATTATACAAGCTTTAAACTAGGATGTAGGAAGTGCAAAAAGAAAGACAGATTGATACTTCAGATGAAGGAAGATATGGGTTAGTGAGATTGGCTGTGATTCCCACCCTCTCACTTTCCAGCTAGTGTGCTTAAAACTATTTTATGGTTGTAATTCCACCTTGGGGTTTCTGGAGAGCTGAATGCTTAACTCAACCTGCCCTTCACTTATTCAATGCTCTACCGCCTATGTAAAGCTGCTCTTAGCACATTATTCCTTGTGTTTATTAACAGTCAAGAGTTCGTTGTGGCATCACAACTTGCTCTTGAGTATATTCTTATATTAAGAAAAGGCCTCCACATCTTCCCCTGGAAAAGTAAATAAGGGGCTTGACGAAACACAGCAACTCAAACTGAATGCCAAGTACCGAATGTGTTACAAATTTAAAAACAACGAAAACTCACTCACCTTTCTGATGGTTTAGAGCAAATGGCTGAAAGTTTTTAGCATATTGCAATGCCTCTCTCTGATTTGCTGTTCCACCCATCAATAAACTAATGAAATATAGCCTGTGTAGTTTAAATTCCAAGGAACTATTCTGGGCCATAAGCATTTCTCGGTTAGATACTGCCCACCTAAGGGAAATTGGAATAAAAACAGTTTCAGCCTACAACAGTGCAGAATTGTTAAAATTATAATTTTCATTTCAAGGAGCATCTCAGTAAGAATATGACTCCGTATCCTGCACTTCCATTATAATACTCAGTGCTCAGAGGATCTCAAAACATTTTACAAATAATTAAGCCTCACAGCTCAGACAAGGAATACGTATAAATACAAAGGGGTCACTTAATCTACCACTTAAATGCTGCCACTTTTGGGGTTGAATAACGCAGCCCCATTTAACAGCACACAGTAACACTACCCAACAACCCAGGACAGGAAGTATACACCATATATCAAGCTAAAACTATAGGAGGAGTATAATTAAGCAGAATATAGAGCTGGAATTTGACCAAGACACTGAGATTAATACCCATATTGTGTTGCTACAGGATCTTTAATAGCCACAAATTGTCAGGACCTCTATTTTAGATACCATCCAAAGACTCAACCTGTAAGAACATGGTGCCCCTCTCCACTCCCCTGTCATCTACTGAATCACCACATTATGGATGTGCACCGGAGCAGTCTCCACTGGGAGTTCTTTACAACAGATCTTACTAACACCTGACATTTAAAAAAATCTTTGTTTTAATAACTGAACTTTGTACTGATTATGCTATTATTGTATTTTCTCTGTTATCCTTCAGCTTGAACAATAAAAATAGCCTCGTTAATCTCCCTTTCCTCCTGCCATGCACTATCACAACACTGCAATGTTTTGAGTTGCAAATGCCACAGCAAAATGTTTACATACAAACCAAATAAAGTGTAATGGAACGTTCTAAAGAGTTTCATGGAAACATTCATATTGTTTAGGTTTTATGGAACCTCATTTTGATGTTTTAAACACGGCTGGACCTAAACCAATCTTATCTTGTCCCTTTAAGAAGCCTTTTGATAAAGCCCAAATTCTAGTAAGATCAGTCACACCTGTTTGTTATTAGTGGATACCTGCTTTTTATCTGGAGTACCATTAAGCTAGGAGAGCAGCTTTCCACCTCTCAGCAAGGAAGTGATGTAGTCAATACTGTCTTTTACAAGGAAGAGCTGGATTGGGGGTCCAGGTGAAATTAACAATCCAAAAAAGCAAGGAAATATATCACCCTACCACTCTACCATATCAAAAACACTTCAGTCGCTTAGTGAAAATCACCCAGGTAGGCAGGTCTTACATCTCCAAACAAGCAAACGTATACTTCCATTTTATTGCAATGAAAGAGTCACAATCCTGACTTAAGCACTGTGGGCTTGAAACCTGAACTGTTGACTTGAACTTTTAATGATGCCTGGTGGAAAATATAACCTTCATAATCAGCAGGGAGCCTAGAAATCCGTTTGCCACGGAAAAATGCAGAATTCGCATTTTTACAGAGAATCTTTAGTTTTTCCATTTTGTGAAAAACTAAAAACATATACAGTGGAACCCCACCGGGGCCAGATTGGATAATCAAAAATTTGGATAATCAGGAGAATTGGCGAAGAGCTTTCTATCCCCTATTTTAAGTTGGCAGCGGGGAGGCTCGGGCAGTCAGCCTTGGGTGGCGAGAGCTCGGGTGGTCAGCCCCAGTCGGCAGGGCTGACAACTAGAGCCCCAGCCATCCAGGGTTGACAGCCCGAGCCCCACCACTGTCAGCCTCAGATGGCTGGTGGTTCAGGTAATATAGAGAGCCGGATAAGGGAGGCTCAAATAAATGGGGTTCTACTGTATGGAATAGAGACATGGAAGCATTGGTATATGTAAGAAATACACATTACAATTCTATTAATTTTATTACAGTGCTTGATGGCACTGGTAGGCTTCGAACTTGCTTAAATATTGTAAATATATCAATAAAACATAGAATCCCAGGGTTGGAAGGGACCTTAGGAGGTCAACTAGTCCTGCTCAAAGCAGGACCAATCCCCAGACAGATTTTTGCCCCAGATCCCTAAATGGCCCCCTCAAGGATTGAACTCACCACTCTGGGGTTAGCAAGCCAATGCTCAAACCACTGAGCTATCCCTCCCCCCAACACTGTGTTCAATTGATACCTATATATACTGTGGTTAGGGAAACTAAAGTTCAGCATTTCATTTTAATCATGGAAAAATGCGGATTTTTATGCTTTTTTTAAAAAAATCAGTAAATTTGGGGTTTTTTAATCATGGAAAACTAGGATTCCTGACAATCAGTAAACTTAGATGCATGAATTTCAGCATTGCAGTGTAAGTCTCAGACAGTTCAACCCAACCAAGTCTGTCAGCATTGTATCTCCACTAGGTGGCTAATGTCACTGAAGAATGTATCAATAGAACTTCTCAACCAGGAAGCTAGTATCATTAAAATATTGTCCATGGTACAGTCCTGGTCAGCTGACTATTGCCACTTAAGCTCAGTCCCTTACTAGGAAATAAGTGCCACCAAATGTCATCCACAGAGTGATTAAGTGGCTCATAAGTAGGAAAGTGTGTTCAGCAAAAACTGCAACTAGAATCATAGAATCGTAGGACTGGAAGGACACTGATAGGTTATCTAGTCCAGTCCCTGGCACTCAAGGAAGGACTAAGTATTATCTAGACCATCCCTGACAGGTGTTTGTCCAACCTGCTCTTAAAAATCTCCAATGATGGAGATTCCACAACCTCCCTAGGCAATTTATTCCAGTGCTTAACCACCCTGACAGGAAGTTTTCCCTAATGTCCAACCTTAACTGCCTTTGCTTCAGTTTAAGCCCATTGCTTCTTGTCCTATCCTCAGAGGTTAACGAGAACAATTTATGTCCCTCCTCCTTATAACCACCTTTTGTGTAATTGAAAACTGTTTTGTCCCCTCACACTCTTCTCTTCTCCAGACTAAACAGACCCAATTTTTTTAATCTTCCCCCATAGGTCATGTTCTCTAGACCTTTGATCATTTTTGTTGCTCTTCTCTAGACTTTCTCCAACTTGTCCACATCTTTCCTGAAATGTGGCACTCAGAACTGGACCCAATACTCCAGTTGAGGCCTAATCAGCGTGGAATAGAGCAGAAGAATTGCTTCTCATGTCTTGCTTACAATTCTCCTGCTAATACGTCCCTGAATGATGTTTCGTTTTTTTGCAACAGTGTTACACTGTTGACTCAGATTTAGCTTGCGATCCACTATTGCCCCCAGATCTGCAGTATTCCTTCCTAGGCACTCATTTCCCATTTTGTACATATGCAACTGATTGTTCCTTCCTAAGTGGAGTACTATGCATTTGTCTTTGTTGAATTTCAACCTATTTACTTCAGACCATTTCTCCAGTTTATCCAGATCATTTTGACTAATGTCACAATCAGAGACAGCAGCACAGGACATTCTGTTCTTATTAAAAATATTCCTGCCAAAGCAACAAGTGACACTCATTTGTTAACTAAGTTCAAGTTAACTAAGTTCAACCCCCATATATGCTCTGTCAAGCTCTGAAATGAAGCATTAGTCACTGCACTGTCTGCCCTCCCGAAGAAGGCTGATACTTGCTTTTCTCCATATTCACTTTTGTGATTCAAATCTAGCTGAATATTTATTTCTATACAGTACATAATTAAAGACAACCTTCAAATTCGAGCTTCATTCTCACCTAATCTTTATATCGCTGTAGTGCTCAGAGACCCCCATCAATATCAGGACGCTGCTGTGCACAGGGCAGTACAGATACATAGGAAGACAAATCCACTCCCTGAAGAAGTTACAATCGAAAGCCTAGATCCTGTAAGCTGTTCTGCAGAAGTGAACCCCTACACCCGCACAGAGACCCACTGAAATGAATGGGGCTCCACAGAGGCACAGGGATCCATCTGGAAAGGACCTACGGCCTCAACCTAGCAATCAGACTGAACGAGCAAACCTCTTTGGCTGTGCAGAGCTCTTTTGAAGTCAGTGGGATTCTACACAAGTGCAGGAATCTCAGGGGTTAGAATGTAGGATCAGGGCTGAGTAGGCTACCTGCTCAAGCTGAGTGAAATGCACAAAAAGTAAATAAACAGTATAACTGGTAAAAAAAAAAAATAGTAAACTAGATATAAATGTTAGCCCATGTATTACTAATCTTAGAATTTTAAAGTTGTATAGCTTTTATATTTAATAATCTAAAGGGTAATCAGTAACACAGATAGATCTCTCTATTTCATAAACTTCCCCCACTCTGTCTGGGCACATGAACTTTAATTGAAAGTGTTCCTTTTAAAAAAATGGCTTCACTTAAAAAAAACAATGGCCAGCGATTATCTTTAGGTGGTTGGTTTTTCGTTTGTTTGTTTTCGGGAGGTGAGCAGTTGTGTAACTAACCAAACACTGTATCTTCCCCTGCCTGACTAATGGTGCAGTAATTAACAGTTCTTTCTCTGTTTCCCCCTTTACGCTCCATCGACATCAGCAGCACAGCCCTGGGAGCAGGTCAGCCAAGTACTTGAGCCTGCCATTTAAACACTTCTTTTAAAGCTATATTTAATGTTGACAGCCTTGTCTGCCTGTTTGTTGGCTTCTCACGCAAACACTGCCATGCCTCCTGCATGGATCGAACCTTCCTGAGCTCACCCCCCAGGCCTCTACCCTTTCCAAACTCCGTTCCCTCCCGAAGCTCCACTTCTGCTGCGGCACCCATGGGAAACTAGCTCACTAATAATCTCAAGTTTAAAGAGTAATTGGGAATGGCTTATAGTACCTCTTTATTCGTTCAGAATGCTGTTCACATAACTTTTTATAATCAAGATGTGATTAACCACCACCTTATATGCTGCACTACTTTCTTCCACCCCCGTCTTTGGAATATGAAATCCTTGGAGAAAAGACCATGCCTTCCCTCCTGTTTGGCAAGTGCTTAGCACATTATGGGAGTTACCAGAAATAAACAAGTAGAAATGAGCGAGGCACGGGGTATTTCCTGGAAATGTGTAGCTAGCTAGAAGCAAGAGGACTTGCTGCCCTGAGGTGCAGATGACAGTCATTAATGGCAATCAGCAGTCAATCTCCAGGTAATGCCCTTCACTAAGGTTGTGCTACTATTATAACTACAAAAAATAGGTGTATGTAAATGGCAGGTGACGCCGTTTCAATTGGTACATCCAGGTCATTGTTAGATTATTAATGCCCTGTAATTATCTAGTTCAGTGGCACTGAACCAGCTCAACATTCCATTCACCTTAGCATATTCAATGAGTAATTATTTATGCTGCCCTCCTCATGTTCTATAGAAAGATTTCAGTACTCAGTGTATGTGGAGTAATGCCTTAAACTTCACAGCGTCAGTGCATTTAACTTTGACGCCAATTTCATTATCCTAGATTCTCAAGGTAAGACTATAAGACTAGTAGTTACAAGTGAACACGAGTGTCAAGGGAAAAATGTCTTTGCCCATATGAAAATTACTTCACTGAACAATGAAGAAAATTGGATATCCTAAATGCATGATGATCATATGCAATAAAATATGAAGGATTTCTGCTTGCTTTGCTCTACTGTTTCTAGTAATACAGAATAAATATCACAGGCTACCAAAGATGTATTTTAACAACTCTTTCTTTAATTTGTCTAGTTTTATTTATATGAGAGAGAAACTAAAGTTAAGTTACATAGAATTTGATGCACACTGAGAACTGGACTCAAGTGCCAAAAATCTCTTTCAGGGTTGCATGCTTTACTGCAAGCTGTAGAGCACATCTTAATCAGTTATCCAGGGTCTGGAAAGGTAGAAAACACAGTGTAATCCACAAGAGGGGATTTTTCATCATCTTGCCTTTTTTCTTTATCTTCCAGTTCCCCTTATAGGTCTAATGGGGGAAAAGCCTACTAAATCCAAATATATCATAACCTGAAGTTCAACAACATATGCTAGCTGGTCTTTCCTTGCACATCAGACACCATTCTCCACTGGCTCTTGCCACTGGGAGAAAGGATAACTTTGTCTAAGAGCAGGACTTCACCTGCAATCCATCTTCCCAATCTGACCTCAGGTGAACCAGGGACTCTACCTGCCTGAGGAAAAAGCAAAACTCTACTGTGAAGCTAACACCACCACTCGCTTAACACCACCAGCCCATGAAGAGCACCTATCCTTCAAACCACCTGCTTCTCCATCCCCCTGCTTTTCCCTTCTCTTGTGATCTCTCTGATCTGGGTTTGATTGGCAAAACTGACAAAATGAATCGCTTTGAACATGATCATGCAGGGCCCTGAGCACCTTCCGCCCCCATTAAAGTCAATGGGAACAGGGGGTGCACAGCCACGAGGTACTTAGCACTCTCTACTTTTGACCCTTTTTAAGTAAGTGACAGTGTTTCATTGTAACCTAGGTAACATTTCATTGTTTAAGGCATACAACTGTTTCTGTAACTGACAGTTTTTCCTGCAAGCTTAAATTAATAACAGGATTATACCATGTGTAGTTCAAATAAAGCATTCGACCAGGAGAAAGAACCTGGAAGGTCAGCACTAACCGTGGGGGGGAAAAGACCACAGAATAACATCTTAACCTCCTATAAACTATGACCCCCTCCTTAAAGTGTATTGAAGTCAGTGCCAAGATTTCCAACACCCTTTGGATTTTCACTTAAAGTATTCAAATAAAGAAAACTGAGCAACTCACTCTAATGCGGGTCTCAAAACTCTAACTTTTAATGCTTCCAATATTCGATTTAACTCCACAAATGGTTCTTTTTGACTTTGGTCTATAGAAAGACCAGATTCCTGAAAAACAAAGTCACACCTTTTAGTCACCAGAAATATGGCCAGAAAAAGTCTACAAAGTAGTATCTCATTTTTGAAATTATTTACACTTTAATATTAATACTCCAGTTGAGAGTTTCAGCTAACAAAATGTAAGATGCTTATCTGGGGTATCATTTCTACTTCTTGGTAACGTTAAACATCCTGAGCTATGGTTACCTGACAGAGCTCCTCAGCGACATCCAGCATCCCTTGTCGGAAAAAATGTTCTACCATCACCTCATTGAGAATTCGCTGGCTGTCAGCTTGCCAGCATCCATCTATCCCCACGCTGCTGATGTCGGAGTCAAAATTCTGAAACGTACAAATTAACATTTAATAGGCTGGAACAAGTAACTCCATGTAATTATTCTTTAATTAGGCAGAGACACCTATGTCTACACTCTGATGCTTTTTGCTTGTTACTCAGCTGCCCTCAATTACCTCCCATTCTAAGAGAAACATGCTTCATTATCCTCTGTGTGCAGTAAGAAGAAATCCTTGGCTTGCTTGGAATCTGTAATTTATCCAATATAAGGAATGATGCTAGCAAATTACAAGTCTGGTTAATTAATAAAAGGATTTCCAGCCCATGACATGTCCTCACAGAGAAGGGTCAGCAGAGGAGAGTTTTCCATATCTTCTAATCTGTCCCTCCACTGTCTCCCCCCCTATCTATTTGGGAAACTCTAGAACCCTGGGTCAACCTGTTGTCAGGTGCTAGAACCTTGCATAAAGGTGCTACTGAGTTATGTTAACAGGTGGATCATTAGCTCCAACTGAGATATCAGAAAGACTATAGTATCTCTCTTGGTAGAGGAAATTAAGAGCATAGAAGCTGTCCTGCAGGGAAAGCTTAACCTGAGGCTGAGGTATGTTTAGTTGTTTTAGTTAACAATGAAGCCAAACCACAGAAAAGGGGTACATTTGGACTATAAACACTGGGCAGATACTCTGTTTAGAGTAAAGTGGGAACTTCACAAGCTTATTCTACCCAATTTAAACTACTCATCCTTGCTTTCAACTACAGCTCCCCTTCACTTGCCAATGATGCCAGGGTCTAACTGATCTCTATATTTGGGGTCAGGAAGGAATTTCCCCCCAGGTCAGATTGGCAGAGACCGTTGGAGTTTTTTGCCTTCCTCTGCAGCATCGGGCACAGCTCACTTACTGGTTTGAACTAGAGTAAAACGGGGGATTCTCTGTAACTTAAAGTCTTTAAACCAAGATTTGAGGATTTCAGTAACTCAGCCAGAGATTATGGACCTATTGCTGGAGGGAGTGGGTCAGGTGACCTGTGATGTGCAGGTCAGACTAGATGACCATGATGGTCCCTTCTGGCCCTAAAGTCTATGAATCTATGCCAGCTTCACTGTTCCCTTTATTTCCTGCACCAAATCCCATCTTCATGCCTTTTTCCCTGCTGCCCCCTACATGTGGAACAACCTCCTTCGCTCAGTGCATAAGGCCTCAATCATCTCCTTCCGATCTTAAAGGCACAATCATTAATGAGGAACAAAAACACTAGCCCTAAGTCAAACAACTGTCTTCTCCACCTCATTATAAGAGGGGAGACATGGAGTGATACAGAAAGCTCAATACTAAAAATATAAAAGCTATGACCATTCACAGGCCGTCTCACATTTAACAAGAGTTTTGTCTTAGGTGTCTTAATTTGTAAACTCCTTGAGGTATAGACTGTCTTTCCTTTTTTTTTTTTTTTTTGCATGTCTTGAACAGCCCTGAGCACCTTAGAGCTTAATAATAATAATCCTCATATCTGAAACAATCCTGTGAACCATGCAAGGTTCATCTCCATCACCGATCCTGATGACAATTTCCCAGGCACATTGTGACTAGACAGATGGAACCCATTACAGCTGTGATATTTAATAAGCATTCAGGAGTTTGGTCTATCAGGGAGGAATGCACCGCTACAAATAAGCACTCAGACCAGTCCAATTCTGCTCAGGCTTCTGCTAAAGAACCTTATAGTAACAGTGGTTCTTCAAGACGACTTGTCCATGTGGATTCCACTCTTTGTGAACATGCACCACATGCACGCAAGATAAGATTTGTCTAACCTGTAATGTCTATTAGGGTCGTGCTTATGCTCTAGATGTCCTCATGTCCTCCCAAACCAGATGCCATAAAGAGTGGAGCAGGTCAAACCATCCTTCAGTTCCTTTGCCAATACAGAATTCATGAGGAGTAGGACTTCACAGTAATGGGGAAGGATGGTGGGTCATAGAAACCATGCGAACAACACATCTCAAAGAACCACAATTACTGTAGGGAAGTCATTGCTGTTTCTTCTTCAAGTAATTGTCCACATGGATTCCACTCTTGGTGACTAATACACAGTTATCTGTTTGCCTGGAGGTAGGTAGTAAGAGTCCTACTTAAACAATTGCGGGCCAGCCCTACCAAAGAAGGCATCCCTCTAATGTGGCTGGGTGGATTTAATCAGGCTAATTCATAATATGTCCTTTTACTCAGATAATCTGAGAAGATATTGCCTGACCTGTAACCCTTTCTGCAGAGGTCACGAACCGTCTAGATGTGTTCCTGAATGGTTTTGTCCTGTCAGTGTAAAAACACAGTGCTCTTACTGCTGCAAGTGTGTGAAGATTAGCTTCTCTCAAGGTTAAGTGAGGCTTGGGGAAGAGAACTGGGAGACAAATGAACTGGTTTATATGGAATTCTGAAACAACCTTGGGAAAGCACTTGGGATGAGGCCTGAGCGTGACCATATGAAACACTGTATAAGGAGGATCCACCCTGAGGGCCTGAAGCTCCCCTACCCTTTGAGCTGATGTAATGGCTACAAAAAACGCAATCTTCATTGGTAGGTGGTATAGGGCAGGGGTTCTCAATCTTTTTCTTTCTGAGCCCCTGTCATAACTATAAAGGGAAGGGTAACAGCTCTCCTGTGTACAGTACTATAAAATCCCTCCTGGCTAGAGACTCCAAAATCCCTTTACCTGTAAAGGGTTAAGAAGCTCGGGTAACCTGGCTGACACCTGACCCAAAGGACCAATAAGGGGACAAGATACTTTCAAATCTTGGGAGGCGGGGGGGGAAGGCTTTTGTTTGTGCTCTTTATTTTGGTTGTTGTTCGCTCTTGGGACTGAGAGGGACCAGACATCAATCCAGGTTCTCCACATCTTTCTAAACAAGTTTCTCATATTTCAAACTTGTAAGTAAACAGCCAGGCAAGGCGTGTTAGTTTTACTTTGTTTTCTCAACTTGTAAATGTACCTTTTACTAGAGTGTTTATCTCTGTTTGCTGTACTTTGAGCCTGAGACTAGAGGGGGTTCCTCTGAGCTTTTTAAGTTTGATTACCCTGTAAAGTTATTTTTCCATACTGATTTTACAGAGATGATTTTTACCTTTTTCTTTAATTAAAAGCCTTCTTTTTAATAACCTGATTGATTTTTCCTTGTTTTTAGGAACTGTATTCACCAGGAGTTGGTGGGAGAAAGGAGGGGGGATGGTTAATTTCTCCTTGTTTTAAGATCCAAGGGGTTTGGATCTGTATTCACCAGGGAATTGGTGAAAGGTTTCTCAAGGCTTCCCAGGGAAGGGAATTAGCTTTGGGAATGGTGGCAGCGGACCAGATCTAAGCTGGTAGTTAAGCTTAGAAGTTTTCATGCAGGCCCCCACATTTGTACCCTAAAGTTCAAAGTGGAGAAGCAGCCTTGACAGCCCCCTACCCCACCCCACTATGCTATAAAAACTCCACAGCCCACCTGAGCCCCAACAACTGGTTTTCTGCATATAAAAGCCAGGGCCAGCATTAAGTGGTAGCAAGCAGGGCAATTGCCTGGGGCCCCATGCCACAGGGGCCCCCGTGAAGCTAAGTTGCTCAGGGCCCCAGGCTTCAGCCCTATGCGGTGGGGCTTCGGCATTCTGCCCTGGGTTCCAGCAAGTCTAACGCTGGCCCTGCTTGGAGGACCCCCTGAAACCTGCTCACAACTCCCTAGGGGACACCAGGCCCTGGTTGAGAACCACTTATATAGGGAACAGGTCGCTAAGGGCTTAAGGGGGGGGACCCATCAACTCTGATAATACTATAGTGAGATTCCAAATGGGAGAGGGCTCCTGAACCAGGAGAAAAATAATAAATTAGACCTTCAATTAATCAAGCCACTATAGGTAAGAACTTTCAGTATGACCCTGGACAGGAGCAGATATTGCTGCTAGATGGACCCCTACCAAGCCAACAGAAAGCCAAGATTGTTTCAGGGCTAAAAATAGTATTGCTGTAGTGGGTGTTGTCAAGGAAGGCAGCAGTGCTGAGATACCCAAATAGAAAACCTCTTCGTAAGTCTGTCTTTCCTGCTTTGGAGGATAATGTTCCGAACTTCAGCTCAACAGCTTCTTTCAGTGGACATCATCCAGCCAGCATCCAAGCTGTCAGTTGTAACGAAGCTAGGTCCAGGTGTAAAATCTGACCATTGTTCTGCCACACTATATTAGGCACAGCACGGTAAAGTGATCGGGTGCTGCGCGCTGAGGGCATAGGAGGGGGAGGAGGAGGGCATACCTCAGTCCCAGTGTTCAGGAAGTGAGAAAGGCATCAACAGTGAGCCTGGACTAGATCCCCTTTGGAACAGAACACATGGCATGTCTTGTTCTGGTCTGCGATAAATAGGTCTATTTCAACTTGTGAAACACATTCTGTAAACACTGGGTCCTTGACTGACCAGTTGTGGTTATTAGGGAACTGTCTGCTGAGGTGCTCGGCTAGCAAGTTCTGAATGCCTGGCAGACACAAGGTGAGTGGTGTGATATGGTGAAAAATACACCAACGCCAAAGTTGAACAACTTCCTGACAGAGTGGAGAAGACCTGGCTCCTCATGGTCTGATGACATAGTGCATAGCCATGGGGTCAGCACTTGGATAATGGATCCCTGGAGTAAAAAGCCGAAATGCTCTGCATGCTAGAATGATGACTGTGACCCTAGGACGTTTATGTGTAGATAAGTTTCCTGAGGGGACCACAGGCCCTGAGTACAAAGATGGTTTAGGTGAGTTCCCCATCCCTGAGTAGAGGTATCTGTCACCACAGACTTGGTAGGTAGAGGTGTAGAGAAAGGTACTCTGTTCTGCACCAGATGAGGGTCTTTCCACCAGAGAGAGGACTTCTTATGGGACCATAACCATCATGTCTGTGTGGTTCAAGCTAGGTAAATACACCCATTTTAGCCACCCTTTTATGGAGCACAGGTGAAGTCTGGCAACATGCGTCACAGAGGTACATGAGGCCATGTGTCCCATTAGCTACTGACTTGCAGGAATTGGGTTGCA